ACTCCCAGGGCCCACGTGATTACAAAATACATATAAGATTCAAACGAATTATTAAAATTAGAAGTTCTGCTTGATGCAAGCAGATGAAGCACAAAAAAGTAAGAGGAAAAATTATAAAAGGATTCCAGGGAAGGAAAGTTCTGCAGAAGTTGAGGTGAACCTGAATAGACTCAGACTTATAAACTCAGCTCAAGGCATCGGTCAGGAGCAGGTAGTACAGTCTCTGGGAATCGTGTAACTTAAAAACTTACAGAAAGGGTTATAGCAAATCTTTAAAGAGATAAATTCAAAACAAGATAGAAAGTAACATAGGCCAGCACCTCTGCAGGTGTAAAGAATCATTACTCTTCAATGTAAGTAGTGAGGGCATGTTTTATAAGAGTATATTATGTCTTGCCTACTCATCAATATTCAAACAAGCGTTCTACTCCATGGACACACTTTTAGGGGTACAGTTTTAGTAGTGTCTCTGCTTTTGTTACTGGCAAGAACAGTTTTAGTAGTGTCTCTGCTTTTGTTACAGGCAAGAGAGTAACTGATTTCAGGAGTCTTTATACAGCTAACCACTTCCATGGCAAGGACTTCACTGGCATCCCAGTACGAGTACGTAAGAAAGAATGAAGGAGAGAAAGTTAACAGGAACTGGCAGAGATTTCTCAGTGTGAGAACAATCCTCAGACAGCACAAAATGCTGAAGTACAAGAACGATTGCTGGAAACGGCAGAAGTATCATAACAAGTATTTCACAGCTCTCATTTCAACCCCAAAATAGTATTTTCTTATCGTTTTCAGCTACCCCTACTCTGTCATCAGTCATTCTTTGAACGCTAAGTCTCACTGTTCCCTTGGGAATTTGGACCAAATAAGGAATGAACAAACCATGGACAAGGATACGCCCAACTAAAATCTTTAAAAAGCCTGGTTACTGAGTACAAAATACCGAAGGAACATTGAAGATAAAAAAATTAGCTGGTGTCACCTATGTAAGAGTAACAAGTCCAAAAGCCTGCTCTACAGCATTGCAGGGTCTTTTCTGCTTCAGGAAGAGGAAAGAACCGCAGTGAATCAAATAAAATTGCAGCTGGTGACTCCTAATTAATTAGAGATCTAAATAATAACAGTAAGAAGCTCATTGCCTTACTTAAAGGGAGTCTGACAGTGACAAAACAATTAAAAGAGAAAGAAAACATATTCCTGGTCACATTAGAGTCTGTTAAAAACCTGCCATTACCTTCTGCCGTTGATGGACTTTGCATCAGCCCTGAAGTATCTGAGTCATGTGGACATCATGCCCATTTCCTACAACTTACACATATTTTTCAAGATTTTAAGCACTGTAGTCTCAAAACTTTAACTCAGTGTGTAATGGTTTTAACATATATTTTACATCTTAATTTGTCATAATAATGTGGCTATAAGCTGCTGTCATTCGCTCCCTTTTTCTGACCTTGGAAGTAAAATGTTTAATCTCCATGGGATTTTCCTGGCGAGATATTTTAAATCAGTGCACATGTACATACTTCTCTATATGTTTTTTCAATTTTCCTAAAATATTCTCATATGTGCAGACATGATGACTAGACATGTTTCAGTGGTGCTTGAAACTTGATACAAGTGGGTAATTTAACCATGTAATTGAACAATATTACAGAAACACAAGGAGTTTCCTAGCAACAAAAGGCCTTGGACATCAAGATGGCAGCCAACAGCCAACATTGCTATCGCCTGACCTAACTTGAAAAGAAATTACACCGAAAAACATCCTTCTTCCTCTTGCAGCAGAGCTGATCTAATATACATGGCTACAGGTCTGACCTTGAAGGGCTTTTCTTACATGCATATGCCTCACTTGTACACCCTTCATGACAAGGGTCACAAAATGTCACGAGGAAGGACATTTGGGTTTCTTTGGGGGTATTTTTTTTGTTTTCAAGAAGAACAATCTTTGATTTGAAAAATGTAATAGTCCTGTCCTCTCAAGTTTACCCCCCATAGAAACTAAAAAACTTCATAATACAAAGTAGCTGAGCACAGCTTAGCATGTCCATGCAGATTTCCTCCTTGTTAGGGCATTTCTGGAGGACTGGGCCAGGGAGAAGGTGGCCCAAGTCCCCTGAGTCTCAAGACCAGTGCTGCTCTGTGCCACCAGCTCCAGAGACAGAGACTCTGAGGGACATCTCCTCCCCTTCTTTCCTTTATCCTCATTTTTATTCATCTCTGGCTGCAGTATTTGGGAGGAGGGAAATAGCAAGATTTTTAGTCCAAGTTCTTTTTTGCTGAAGCCAGTCAGCCAGTTGAGAAGTTATCCCAGAGAACTGGGGATAACTGTCCCCTTTATTAGTGCAGAGGAGAAGTGACATCCGAGATGAAGAGCTCCTGACGAGCCAGTCTCAGACAAAAAGCATCTCTTCCTGAGGGGAAAGAGTAAAGCATGGAAGAAGCTACCAACTCAGGAGGCTGCAGGACTCAATGTCATTTCTGTATGAACTCCTGCCTAACAAAGCCTCCTGCCACAATCTGAAGAGCATTAGAATCTAGACCCACAGCTGTGACACAGCTCTGTGTCACCCTTTGAAAAGGGGACTTAGTGAGTCTTCCTAGAGACTTGGGTCCCAAGTTCCCTACCAAGTCCCATGTTTCATGTCTGACCTAGACAAATCCTTTAACCTGTCCTTCGACACGGGACAAAAGCACTTCCCACTAAGAATAAACACATTTAAGCCCATTAACTTTCAGGCAGTACAATGCCATGGTCCAGAAGGTTACACTCAGAGGAGACACCTTCCCCTGGAAGGATGGTAGGAGGTGTTAACTGCTGCTGCCGACCCCACCAACACAGGGTGGATCAAGGCAACAAAGAGCACTGAAAAAATTCCTTACACCCTTGCTATGTTCAGAGCTTCCCTCAGTTAAACAACAACATCAGTCCCTATTCCCAGCTACAGCATGACTTCATTTTTCCATCTGAAGTAGCTAACTCGCTTCAAGAAAAATGTCAGAAATTGCCTGTTTTCTGAATGAAAAATGAAAAGTCTCGGGCAGAGAAACAGAACCCTCCTAACACAGGGATGATGGTTGACTGGTATTTCACTAAAATAGCAACAGCTATTTGTGTGGAGTATGTCTATAACAAATATGTCGGTACAAAAATGCTGCCTTGCAAACACCATTCTTTTCAGTGTTGCCTTTACAGCTTTGGAGGCACTGGCTGCTTTCGCAGCCAAGTTTGCCACCGCTATGGAAAACAGGCCGCAGATGCAAGCCAGCTGAAGTCATACACACTGAAAAGGGCTAGGGCTGCTGCTGCTACCACTGTAAAAATGTTATTTGGAAACCGTCTTCTCAGAGAGCTGTATAAGGAATCAAAAATCCAGGGTAGGGATGCAGGCTCGATGCTTTTCCATTTTTTAGCAATGACTAATATAAAAAAAAAAGCTCTTATCTCAAAATAAAACATTTCTGCCCTTTACAAAGGCATAAGCAGGCAGAGTAGAATGGCCTTATATAGCCGGCCTAGTCATGTCGTCTTCACCACTGGATCCGAAGACCTTCTTGCATTGTACTCATAACCTCAACCAACGTGGGTGAAAACTATGCCAAAGCCTTCCTCTTCCTCAGCTGGAAGGCAGAGGGATGTCCCTTTGGATTTCACCAGAAGAGTTGTGTGAGAACATCACAGAGCCAAGGCCAAAAAATCAAAACAGAAAGTGAGAAGTAAAACACTTCAACACTCAGCAAGTCAGGCCAGAAATAATTGTGCAATTAATCTAACAGAGATAAGTGACATGCAAGAAATACAAGCTTTTCAGCGTCTAAGAGAATATAGAAGCATGTTTTAGAAGCAGAACAACGCAAGTCAATCCTTCAACAGATTTGTCCCTTATATACAGCTGTTTTCTGTCTAACAAGGGTTGAGTTTGTAACTGCAGTTTTCTTCTAGAGAAGACATTGGGTCTCCCTATGATACCCAGCTGTCTATTCGCATAAGATTTGAAGGAATCCAATAATCCAAGAATTATAGGATGGTTTCTGTTATGAAACAACAATTAAGACAGGTAGAAAAGATTATTTCTATTTCCTTAAGATGCTCCACAGCATTAACTGCTTCAGATAAAAGGACAAAGTCAACTCAATTAAGTTTGTGCATCCTGATTCTCAAAAAAAAAATACCATTTTTCAATAGCAAAACTTAAATTTCACCTGAACTAGCAAAACATACCTGTCAATGCTTGTGCCAAATCTAAACACATATTCTCCAAAGTCCTTTTCTAAATGCTTTTTGCTAAATGTTTTATCAATGCTGCACCCCACTGCACAATTCATGACAAGAGACCTTGTGAAAGTGTTACTCCTTCAGGCAATGGAGCAAGACCTAGATTGCAGCAAAGTTTTCTTTATAGCTTTTTTCTCACATGAATTTTCTCTCCAAAGTAAAAGCCGATTATGGCAGCACTGCTTCTCTACTCCAGCTGAATATGACAGAATTTCATGGTGTCATAATGACCATTTATTCATAACTAGATCAGCTTCACTCAGTTTTCTTAATCCAAAAGCAATGTTCAAGTATAGCTGACCTTGGATGTAGACAAACCTGTAGAACTTTGACTACAAGTTTTCTGTAGTATTTAAAGTTCTCATCACTCACCCCTCATCTCTTTTTTTGATGTGTCACCTACACAGTCCAGTGAGAAAAGATTGCTTTCACTCAGGAATTTCTAAATAATTCCACACCATCTTAGGGCTTCATTTTTTGGGAGACCTCATTTCTCATTTATTAGCAGAGTAAAACAGCAGATACAGGCAAAAAAAGGCTCCACCTGAAGCTTTAATATTCTGATCTATGACCTCAGGTGTGACAACGAGAGGTAGAAAGCACATTTCTATACTTTGTAGACCCATATCAAAAGTGTTGACTCAAAAGTTTCAGGAAAACAGTAAAAAACGCCAAGTAAATCCATTGGAGGTAATGGGATCTGTATGATACTTCACACATTGCTTACCTTTAAGAAAATGAACCTTCTCAAAATCTTGAAAATTAAGTAGCCCCAATATAAATGCAAGCCTTGAAGGACCAATAGCTGTCCATTGAATAAAAAGTACGCTATGACAGGAGTCGTGGAGTAGTATGTAGGCTGATACAACGTGGCACGAAGAATCCTAAAAAAAAAAAATAAAGGTCACTGTTATGGTGCAAGATTTCTTCTCTATGCTATTTACAACTATTTGTAATTTCACATTCCAAACTGATTAACTATTTCCACAAAATATTAAAAAGCTCTGAAAAGATGACAGATGAATTAACAAGCCCTGTCTTAACTAGATTACGCATCTCCATTGAAATACCGACTTCAGAAGATGAGAAATTTGAGTCTTGCATGAAAGTATTCTAAATAAGGTTAGAAAAAATCCCATTCTTTTTCATCTTGAGCTCTGTGTGGTCTAGATACTAAGCAACTCAGAGCTTGTCTATGCCATTTATTTTTTTAATGCAAATTCTTCCTAATCTGAAATCCACACTCCAGAGAAAATCCTACAGGCTTTGTAACAGGGGTTTTTGTTAATTAACATATGTTTTGTCCATCTTCTGACTTCACTACTTCTATATTATTTGAGGCTTTTTGAGTCCCTTTAATCTCATCACGTTTTGCTTCCAAGCTCAAGAACAAGAAACTCAGCGAAGCAAAATGATTGGACTAAACTTGTATAGTTAATCAAAAAATAACAAGAAAGTAAAAGACATCAGCATTTCTGAAAGAAAATACTACAGGAAATTAAAACCTCGTGTTGATCAATGTTCAGAACTATTAATTTAACCAGCTTGAGTCTCTAAGGGTTTGTCCACATCCAGGGAGGGGCATGAAAGCAAAACTAGAGCAAGTCAATGAAACCGTGAATGTGAAACACATTAAACACTTTTTAAAAGTTAAACATGTTTAGCATTAAGCACACTAAGTACCCATGTGGATACTCCAAAGCATCTTAAACCATAGCACTCCAAAAGCAATGTGAGTATTTAGTGAGTTATGAGAGATCACTTGTATAGTTAATCAAAAAATAACAAGAAAGTAAAAGACATCAGCATTTCTGAAAGAAAATACTACAGGAAATTAAAACCTCGTGTTGATCAATGTTCAGAACTATTAATTTAACCAGCTTGAGTCTCTAAGGGTTTGTCCACATCCAGGGAGGGGCATGAAAGCAAAACTAGAGCAAGTCAATGAAACCGTGAATGTGAAACACATTAAACACTTTTTAAAAGTTAAACATGTTTAGCATTAAGCACACTAAGTACCCATGTGGATACTCCAAAGCATCTTAAACCATAGCACTCCAAAAGCAATGTGAGTATTTAGTGAGTTATGATTTATTTGCATTGGCTCCATAAATCAACTGGTTCACCTTAACTTTTCTGAGTGCTCATCATGGAAGTGAGGTGAGGTACTTACTACTCAAGGACTAGGTAGCAAAAAGAAGGCACTACAAGAATTAACTACAATCATGTAGGAATTACACTGTACTCTGACTTTGTAAGTACAGCAGGAGGGACGGAATTAAGGGGAAAAATTATTTGTCCTAGTTCAGTAACTCAATCCCCTCAAAAATGCAGGAGCTACAGCATTTAACTAGAATTTGTGAAAATAAGTTTAAAAAAGGCTTTTATGCATTATTTAAGTTAGCATATTTTCAAGAGGATCAATTAAAAACTATTTTTACTTAAATTAAATTTCTAAATAAAATGATAGCTTTTGTTAACTCTTCTTGCTGGCCTTTAGTAGCCAACAATAACAGAAGTTCTGCTTCTGCTCCTTAAAGTACAATCCGTTCCTTTCTTTTTCCCATCACAACCAATACCAACCTCTCAATGAAAATGAGAATGAAATAAAAACATGTGACTACATTAAATCTTGCTTACCAGAAGGGGAACAGGATGATTCTTGTGATGAAGAATGCAATAGAAAAGATGATAAAGAGCATATTGCATGTTTTCTCCCAGTGAGCGTAATTAAACATTTTTGCCGCCTGCATTGAATAAAAACCATCAAACATATTACAAATATCATCTGAAAAAAGTTCCTTTCTGCATTTTCATAAACAAAGACTCATCTTCCACCTAAGCAGGAGGAAAACTTCCTCCCTGTTTGACAAGTAAAGCAATCATTTTACTGATACCTAATAAAGCAGTATCAAAACAGATTCTTTGTTTATATTTCTCCTTTCATCTTACAGGAATGGACTCTGTATCAAAGGCCTAGAGAACAGCTCTCCGATCAGAATATAAGTGTCACAAAAACACAAAGTACTCTCAAAAACAGAGGTCCATCCCTCGTGCCTGTACCAGATTCAAAACGGGCTGGATCACAGAGATGCTGCTGGCCACATCTGCGCGCCCAGGAGCAGCACTGACCCCTTATACACAGACACTCTGGTGCATTGTCTTACTGACCCTTCTGTGCCTAATTCAGCTTCTAGTGTCTCCTTTTCATGGATTCACGGATTCAACAGAGTTGGAAGGGACCTCTAGAGACCACCTAGTCCCACTCCCCTGCCAAAGCAGGATTGCCCAGAGCACATCACTCAGGACTGCATCAAGGTGGGTCTTGAAGATCTCCAGAGAAGGGGACTCCACACCCTCCCTGGGCAGCCTGTTCCAGGGCTCTGGCACCCTCACCGGAAATAAGTTCTTCCTCATATTTGAGTGGAACTTCCCATGGTCCAGCTTGTGCCCGTTGCCCCTTGTCCTGTCGCTGGGAACCACTGAAAAGAGTCCGGCTCCATCCTCCTTCAATCCACCCTTTAGGTACTTGTCAACATGAATGAGGTCTCCCCTCAGTCTTCTCTTCTCCAGACTAAAGAGCCCCAGCATTTTGAGCCTTTCCTTCGAAGGGGGGTGCTCTAATCCCTTAATCATCTTAGCTGCCCTACACTGGACTCTCTCCAGTAGTTCCCTGTCCCTTTTGAACTGGGTACCCAACTTCAGTTTCTGAGTGCTGTCCTACCACTTGTCATTTCAACTGTTTGTAAGGTCACACAATTAATTGGACTACAAAGCACTTCAGGATTAAAAGTAATCCAGCAAAACCCCCTGTGTGTACAAAATGTGGACCAATCCCAGCTGCATGACCCCACAGTTAGTTGTTCCAATACAACAGACTATCGTGAACAGAAATGAAGTATATTTAGCTCAGGGAAGGGTTTTTCCTTTCAGTCCAGGGAAAGAAAACTTTCTTCTGCCACTAGATACCTGTGGTATCTTGTTCAGGGACAGGTTGAGTGTCTCCAGCCAGAAGTGTATAGTGTATAATGTAGAGGTACCCCTTGGGTCAACACAGGTCTGTGAATGCTGACAAAATTAAGCCAGCTTGGAAAAGCAGCCAATATTTTGGCTGCTAAATTTGCTTGAGCATTGGTATCATGACTAACCATTCACAGGCCAGCCAACTTGATCTAATTTTAACAGTGAAACAAGAATAATCCAGGGAGGTAGCTGTATTCCCAGTCCCCGTTCTGTACTGAAGAACTTCCCTCCTGCTCTTTTCTCATAATGGATTCTGTAACAGAGTATCAGCTTAAATTATCTAGAAGCTCTTTTTTATCTTACAGTTTATGAATCTGTGAAGCCTTGTCTGTGTGGAGACAGGAAGGGATTGTATGAAACTTGTGGCAAAAAGATTAAAACGTCACTGAACATAACTTGGGCAAAAAACAGAAAAAAAAAATCAAAACCCCAAAATACCAACAAAACCCCCCAAAATAAATAAAAAAATAAAGAAAAGATGGAGGGCAGGGTTACCTCCAGCCAGAAGTCTGCAGTATCGTGCACAAACATCACCAGTGTTCCAAGACGCACGTAATTGCCACACCAAGAGCCACTCATCAACCCAATGGCTGCCAAGTGATGAACGACATGAGCCAGAAAATCCTGTGAAGAGAAGAAAAAAAAATAAAAAAAAAAAGAAGGTAGATCCAAGCAAGTAGAGCCCTTGAGGCTGTCTGAGCAAAGTGACAAGCAAGACTTGTCACAGGCAGAGGGATGCCCTGGCAGCCAGGAGAGCAGGGCTGCCTGCAGGTGTGCCAGGGATAGACTGATGCTGCCCTCATGTGGCTGCACCAAAGCCACTATCAGGACAGTGCTTTTCCTTAAAAACACTCCTTTTCCCCCACTCTCACAGAAACCAAGGTTCAAACTACAAACAAGCACAATCACTTGCCTTCCTTTTGTTGTCAATCCCAAGGGTAAATAAGAGAGACCAGTAAAAACTGATCTCAGCCATGTAGTACCAGTACTGGGATGGCAGCAGGGTCTGTAATGAAGAAAACCAGGGTTAACTGAGAATAGCAAAAAAATGAACGCCAAGTGAAATTACTACTTTTTTCCTTTCCTCACTTCTGCTCCTCTGCTGAGTCTTGCTTAAAAAATTAAACTAAACTAAACCCCTGTTCTGGGCTTCATTAAGAAGGATGTTCCGGGAGCCAAATATTTTAACCTTTACTCAGACCAAACTCGCAGTTTCTGCAGTTCCTCCCCCACCTCTGAATTTTAGCATGATTTTTTTTGTATGTTTCTGTCAGAGAAATACACGCAGAGTGCTTCTGCATTTAATTACAAACAACTGCAAATAAATGAAGGCCTCCATTTTGGTGAACAATTAACATTTTAAACATTCACACATCTCGTGACTAAAGTATCAGCTATTTATGCTAAAATTCTATGCATCTTCTCAGGGTTAGATGCTGAGCTTGGCTGCTCCCTTGGTTCAGTAAGCTTCCCAGGTGGCAGGAAGTAGGTTGGGTTATCAGATCCCACGGGGAAGAGAAGTTGGGAAAACTCAGCTGGGAGGAAAGATTCTTTTTTTTCCTTGGCTCCATAGCAGGAATATGAAGGCAGTGTGATGGGTCACAGATTAGTAAAAATAGGAGGGGGGAGCACATTAGAACCTCTGGCAGGTGGGCAAGAGGGCGGTTTGGAGTCATCTATTATGGGACTGTAAGTAAAATATTTTAGGAAGAAACAAGAGCCTCATGACCCATGGGAAAAACCAGAATATTGAGCAGAGATCCCCAGGGCAGAGACTCAGATGATGCCAAAGCAAATCAGTGCAGAGCTCCCTCCACCTGCACTGCTGAGCAACAGGGCCCAGCAGGCACACAGCACTTGGGCTGCTCGGCAGTAACCTTCTGCATAATGCTGTTGTGCAGTGCCCAGAGGCACCGTCAGGTCTGGTGCAAGCTGAGGGGTTCTGCACTGAAACCAGTAACACAGATAGCATCTACTGGGTGCAACTGGTAACCCGGAATGGGTGGAAATAAGAGTGGTCGGGCTGGAGGGCTGAGTTGCAGCACAGGCAGATCACGGAGAAGTCCTGCAACAGTCAGCAGGAGGTACCAGAGACGGGCAGAAGGCTTTGGTGCCACACCTCTCTAGGTGTGCCCCTTGGGAGGGAGAGTTCTGCGGATTACCCCTTCCAATGGGGAAAGACCTGGAATGCCCCAAGGCCAACGGCCCAGTGCCAAAATGCTCACCTGAAATGGATAGCCAACCCACGTCTGCCAGATGTCGTAAAACCAAGGTTTCTGGGGAAGACAGATGATTCAGAGACTCATCAGCTGAGCAACAATAAGTCATCTTAACTCAAAATCTTCAATACTTAAAATTTCTCTAAGTGAAGCAAGCTAAGAAGCTGTAAGTCTTGATAACTGTTCCCCACCAATTTCTAAAAGGATCTTACATCCCAGATTTATTATATTCGTCCCAATTTTTTGGCTTCTTTTCAGGACACCTGAAACATTCCAGTTCATCATTTCACCATCAAAAGCAGTGGGTGTGTGTTTTATTACTGCAATTACTCAAGACATGTTGCCACAGTGATTAGATTTTGCTGTGTTTACCAGCCACATAACGCCACTGCTTCATGATGATAAACAGCATTTGGGGAGAAGAGCCAGATGAAGGTAGACACACTGAGAACTGCTCTGCTGCTCAGGAGAAGCATTAATGACACCCCAGGCAGCGCTCACATAGTTACAAAGCAGCACTCTCTCTGTTATTCCCAACTTCTGACTCAGCAGCAACACCTCAATAAATAGCTGTGAAACACACCGTTGTTGTGACCCCCAAAAATGCTGCCGGAAAAGGATTATGGCCTCCTTTGAGAAAAACACAGCCATGTAAGGCATTTGTTGGTGTTAACAAGGCATGTTGTAAAGACATGTGTGTGACTTCTTAAAACTTTCGTTAAATATACTGATTACTCAAATTATTTTATCACTGAAGTTCAAAAGATAATTTGAAGTTAGGTAAATCCTCAGCACATATTGCAGCCTATCATCTAGATTACATTCAAAGATCAGAACCCAAATAGCCACTGAAACCAGTGAGATTTTCAATGGGCTTCAAGAAGATCTAGAAATCAGTCCTTACTTTGTTAAAAACATAAGACTATCAATCCTTTCAAAAAATTAACTTACATCATACAGAACTATTAATCCACCAATGGAGGATGCAAAATAGAATGAAAATCGCCAGCTGCAAAATTAAAATGAAAAAATAAGAACAAAGCATTACATTTTTTATAGATACTGTCCAGAGCCAGAATTACTGCAAATCCTTATATATCACATGCAATCTTTGCATAAACATGGCCTCACACGCTACGTTAAGGGTTGTCACATATTAACTATACCTGAATTACTCATATTTAAATATTTAAGTTTTGACTAATTGCTAAAGTAGTAAATTATTTTACATAATCTCAATACAGATATCTTGATTGTGATTACAACAGTAATTTTCCAGCCAGGCATGAACTGATCAAGAGAACGGTCACAGCAAACATAATAAATTCCCTAAAAATTGACGTTTGATAACACCAACCTTTCCTGCTATATCAATCCCTCTGGAACATGCACACTGGACTAAGGACGTCTCACAGCTCCCTAACTCCAGAAAGGCTTTCAGCCATGTAGCACATACTTTCCAATCTGTTCAAACACTGTGAGCTCCAACAGTGACTTGTTTTAATTGCTGGCTTAACTTCTTTTGATCTCTCTGAACACCGATTGTTGAAAACAGGGGAGCCCTATGAAACTTTAACTACTGGATTAGTTTATGTCTTACCACAGAGGTCTGAATTAACTATAAGCCTCAATCTTTGACTAGGTTTGCCAGCATTTACTGTGATCTAAGGATTTTGTGGCTTAAACGGATATTCATCAAGGCAGATAAAAACTATCAGGTTTTCACCACTGAACTGGTAAATCAGCAAAGGGAGAAATATCCTTGTGTATCTTAGTGAACCGAAACTATGTTGTTGCTTTTATATGTCAGAGCAGGATGCTGTGATTTGGAGCCAGCAATCAGCTTTGTAATGACTCTGGAGCCTGCGTGGGAGGTATTGTCCCTGGGACTGGGTGCGGCTGGAGACTCAGCCAGAGCGTTCCCACTCCCACCTCTACAGGTGATGGAAAACTTCTTCCTTTCCACTCTTCTCCTTGACAGGAACGAGCCTGACCTTTCCCAGAGCAGCTCTTCAGGATCAGTAGGAAAACACTGCGGGGCTTCACATGGTGAGAAAGGTTGCAATCTCAGAGACAGGCACATGGCCCCAAACCTCATGAGAATATTTTGTAGAACAAGAGCTACCCCAGAGGGCGGCAGCCAACAGAAAACCTGAATTTGCTAAAAAGGAGGAGAGAGAGCCTCAAGAAGAACACTGTGTAATGGGCTGAGAGATGTATAAAAATGAGATTGTGGTCTTTAGCAAACCATTAATGAAGTGCCATATGAGAGAAGAGGATGAGAACCTGTCTGGTAAAAGCAGCCGCTCCTTTCTGTGCCCTACATTACCTGGAGGCTGAAATCCCAGGTGAAAGAATTAGATGTTCAAAGACCGAGCCAGCATTTTACAAGAAAAACAAACAAACAAAAGATGAGGACGTAGAATGGCAGAGGCTAGACAAGATAATATGTCTCACGCCTGCAGAAGCAGCCAAGGAAACAATTATAAAATTGCCACTTGATATACCGGTAATAAACAATCAGTTTACTTTTCAACTTTAAAGCATTTTTCCTCAGCTGATTTGAAAATACTACTTCAGAACACTCACTGCGCAGACAGAAAAACTCAAAGATAAGTGGTGGAAATAAGGAGAGCAAGCAGAAAGGGAGAGTGGAACCCACAAGTATTAGCTGGCACAGAGTTAACCAAGAGATGCTATGACAAACAACACCCATGGCGTGGGACAGACTTTGTACACAGGGGCTGGTTCTGCCCTCGTGCCTCCTATTTCAAACAAGGGAGGTGTGAGGAGCCCAATGGATATAGCAGGACTGATTCTGTGTAAGGTGTAAGTGGTTTTCCAAATCGGATCAAAAAAACAGAGCACCTAACAAGACTGTGTCATTAGTCCCCATCCCTACAAATATATATTGGATGCACTTAGCAATAAACAGTGCTTCAGATGAGCTCAGGGTACACACAAGACCACCAACAGCACTACCACTGTGCATTGAGCCGAGCTTCTTTATGAATTTGATGAACAAAACCTAAACTAAAACTCATCCAAATTCACCAAATTTTGCCCAAGTTCAGAGCAAGCACAGAACGACAGCTATGCAGAAGGATTTTCTCCTTTCAGGAATCTTTTCTCTTCAATTAAGTCTAACAAAAAAAAAAAAATATTTAGTAGGTAAGGTTAAAGGCTGGTAAGTCTTTTAATGCAGGGAAGGTTTCACACAAAGGGCTTTCCAAACCCCAGTGTTGCTTAACTGGCAGCATTAATAGCTTAAGTATGGTTTAGATCTGGCTCATCAGATTTTGCTCGTGATTCAGAAAAATGATCCTAGAGATTGCAGGCTTTCAAAAATTTCATAATGCTCATAACACTGACTATTAACATAGAATAATTCTGTTCCTCATTTGTTGCCTTGAGAATTATAGCCAATTAAATTCACTCACAAAGAGCAGAGCAAGGTTCACAAAATTGCACAAGAGAAATCTGTTTGCTTCATTCTCACTCGAGCTGCCAAGCAAGTTTTAATTTCAGTCTTTGGCTGCATATTACTAGAGACATGCATCCATGTGAGGTAGGTCTTTTATCAAAAGCAGGAAATCTCATTGTCGCTCGTAAAACAAAGTTAACTGCTCCACAAAACAACGGTAGAAATAAGCCATGAACGTCAGTTTACTCAACTCAGTGAAGCTTCAGGGCGACAGGCCTATGTTTATCAACTGCATTTATGCCCAACAAAGGACATCAAATTATTATTGTATCAATTCATACTGGAAATAATCTTGATAAAGTACTCAACTTGGAGCTCTGTAGCTTTTAACCCTCATTCTTTAAACTAATCTACACTAAAAGAGGTTACATATTATAATAATGTGACTTTTCACATGTAATTATACTAGTCTAAAATCCAAATACACAGGCCATTAGGAAAGTGCTTTACACTGGTACAGTTAATTTCAGTACCCAAAAGGGATGAGCTACGTAAGTAAAGCCATGCACGTTTGGGGATTTGCAGTTTCTAGGATATTTTAGACAACACTGGAATATTTAAATAGCAAAACGTTTAGGCCTACAGAAGTTCTCACACATTTGTGAAAAATCAGACTCTTGGATGTTTTTCCAGTTTTCAATTACATGCAGGAGGTTTTGAAACTTTTTACATATTCATTATTATCACTCAAAATTGCTCAATGGCCCTCTCTCATCAGCGTATTTGAGCTCATACTTTGCACAGTATCCCCTGTGCAAGCTATGACACCTATCATTTAGCTCAGATGGCAAGATTCCTGCTCTTGAACTTGAACTGACTTCCGTACGCGTAACAGCATCCCAAAATGGCAGCACGGGTACATACACAAACAAGATTGAGTAAGCATTTTTGTTCCTCTATGATTACTGGCAGACAGAAAAATATTTTCCTATTCTCTGCATGTTTTCATTAAGCACTATGTAGCAGGAGTGTACAAATAAGTCCATTATTAAACGATGAAGAAAACTGTAAAATATTTTTGAGTTTTTTTTCAAGAGAAACTGTTAACCTAATCTTTTAAAGTCACAACATTTGGAGAAACATTACTAGATCCTTTCAATTTGTTCATGTATGCACAAAACAAAACCCTCACCAGACAGACCCAGCTTTTTGGAAGTGAGCCCCCTTAAAAGGGGCCTGAGACCCCATAATAATTTTTTTCAAAACAATAAGATCCATAATAATCAAAAGCATTGTCTTTTCTTACAAAGCTTCCTGGAATTTCCGAAGCACTGTTGGGATCTCAAGGTTTCGCCGTCTCCTAAACCACTTTTCCACCAAACGGACTGTACAGTTGCACTTTTTGGCAAGGCCTTGAATCTCTGACTGCAAAAAAATGGAATAGTGTTAGCAACAAGATGTACTCCACAGTCATTTTCATTTATTTTGTAGTTTACAGATCTGCTTCCCACTGCTGTAAGTGGGAAATAATATTAAATAGCGATATTAAATAATATTAAATAATAAATTATTAGTAGTAATATTTAAAAATATTACTAATGTTAACTATCTATGGGGGTTAACCTTGCAGGCTTCCTGGTTTAATTTTTGAATGACTCTCAGAAACCCTGGATTTTTGAGACACTAAATTATAGTAATAAAGCAGGCATGAAATGTACAGATGCACAAACCGTGCTGTTGTCTTTCTGGTAGTTTCTGGTAGTCTTCTGATAGTTTCAAAGATGCAATTTCTACTGCTAAGCAAGAAGTTGGGCTGCAGGAGGAAGTGCCAGGTACCATCTACACACGTACTGATATCTAATATCTTACCTAAATATAACTATTAAATTATATTTAAATAAGTCTCACAGATGAAAGGCAGGCCTGGCACTAAGGTGACCTAAGCTCCATTCTCCAAACAAATGTCCTTCTGTGGTACAGGGCAGATCAGTTTAATCTTACTAAGCAAAACCCAGACTGCCTGTTGCCACCTAAAAATAATTTAGGACTAGAGCATTGCCTAGAAATGCATCTATCCTTCAAGCACTCTGCCATGCAGCCATGCTAGCATGCTCTAAGCAAAAGGCAGTGTGACTCTTGGATTTCTGGATGCTCAGTGCTCCATGGGCAGTAGCCTGTAGGTTTTCTCCCTCTCCTCCATCCCAAAGTGCAGAAGGTGTGGGCTGACCTCCCCTGGAGCTGCTGCAGGACTGGAGGTAGCCTTCCACTCATCCCTGGGGAAGCTCTTTCCCAGTAAGACTCGTATGCAAATAGTGGGTGGCACCAGCACTGCCTCCACCAAGGTAAGTCTAGTTCAGTTGGTCTCCTACCCTCAGGGAAAGCTCTGGTACGTGAGCAAAGGCACCTCAACTGCCAGGACTGGAGGTAGCCTTCCACTCATCCCTGGGGAAGCTCTTTCCCAGTAAGACTCGTATGCAAATAGTGGGTGGCACCAGCACTGCCTCCACCAAGGTAAGTCTAGTTCAGTTGGTCTCCTACCCTCAGGGAAAGCTCTGGTACGTGAGCAAAGGCACCTCAGCTGCCAGGGAGGGCAGGAGCACAAACAGCCTCTGTGCTCTGCCCACCCTGCTGGCTGCAGAGCTCTCTACTTGCCATGCAGGAATAATGACTTTGTTTTGACAAACAGCAGGGCCGAGACACCCTCAGTCACCAGCCAGGCCTCTGGGTGTTTTCTAAGGCACCGCCATGCAGGAATAATGACTTTGTTTTGACAGACAGCAGAGCCGAGACACCCTCAAGTCACCAGGCATGCTGGTCCCCAGGCTGGACACCTAAGGGAGGCAGCCTGAATCCTTCCCGTGTACTGACAAGTATAAAAATGCTGTGTCTCCTTCCAGAGACTAATTGTCAAACTGTACTCATGCAGAAGGAAGGTATGAAACAGAAAGATTGGGATACTTGCCCAGATAGAGAAGAGTTTATATGTGAACGTGAATACATCTAGTCCTGGTGATATCAGGCAAAAGACACAGTAATAGAATAGCAGAGTTAGGGATAGAAAGCAAAGTTCCATTATCAATAATTATCAATATCCCTCATTACTAGAGCTCACAGATTTCTTTTCAAAACAGTGTAGGAACACTGCAATTGTTTGGTAACTGTAGTGAGGTAAGTGAACTTTCTGACACTGCATCCACAGCAAAGTACCTGTTTTCCATCAACAATCAAGTTGCCTCATTTTTTGAGATAGTAAACATTGGCTATTATTTTCCTTTTGTTCAATTTTAAAAACAAACAGCAAGGTAACAGAAAGATTGCCTTTCTTTCTCACATAAGCCAGGATTAAGTGTGCAGCAATGTAACAGATCAAAAGGCTTCCATGCCAGAGTTCCAATATTATTCCTTGCAATAAATATGATACCACTTTCCAACAACAGATGTCAGCTGATGTTTTCTCCAGACAGAATGAGTTAAAGATGAAACACTGATCTTCACTGGAAACATTATTAACAGCCTAACCTAGAACAGCATGCCAGAAAATTAAACATCTTAAACATATTTTCTGTTTTGGATTCTATATGCCCTCGTCAGCAGAACAGCAACAAAAACCCAAATAAATTAAGTCATCTGTCAATCAGCTGGAACTCATCCCGTGATGTCACTGCTGATAGCTGATTCAAACAGTAAGAGTTGGGATTTTCCAAAACCAAAACCAGTTTATAAGAATGAGAATCCTTACTTGGGATGGATGTTTTGAGCACTCCCGGAAATAACTCTCTAATACAGGATTGGGCTGCGGCTTCACACGTCTTACATTCTTTATACCTAAGGCTTTTGCTAGAGGTATAGCAATGTATCTGAAAAGACATACCGTGAAAAACTTTAAAAATGCAACACAGTTACAAGACCTTAGCTATTCTTATGCCAGCCTATGTAGAAAATAAATCTGAAGCAATTTAATCTGCCATAGGATATGACAGTGCAGTGTGAGAGAAAGGAATCTCCCTCTAGCTAATCCCAAGGGAGAACCCTAGCATATTAGCAGTTACGCAAAGAAACAGTTTGTGGGCCTGAAATGCTGTAAAACTAAAGGAAAGGTCTTGATTTTTGTGGCCTTGCGTTTTTCAGAGGCAGATTGGCATTAGGGAACAGTTAAGGGAGAGTGAAACGAGGACGGATGCTCTCTCCATGTGAGCTGCTACTGGGATGCTTTTTCCTCATGACAGTCACTTGGCACGTTGCTCCACAGGGCAACCACTGCTCAAAGACACTGCGTTCTGCATGAGGCCTCCAGCCTGTGGCACACAGCAACCTCCCCACAGACTGAAGGCTTCTCTTTCTCTTCCACTTCCCAATACACATGGCTGCAGAGCACGCCAAACGCTTCACTCTTCTACTCAGGCAGGCTTTTCTGAAAAAGCCCCCCGCTCTCCCCCCCACCTCCTCCTGCTGATATCAGCAATTGATTCCTCATTACTCATAGCAGCAGTCGGTTTTCCTCATTCATGGGCAGATTCACTGCAGGCCAGATGTGTGGGCTAATTATTCACACGAGTGATTTCCAATAGCAGCGCAGTGAGAGACAGTTGGGCAAGTATTTACTCAGGAGACACTGCGGATGGTTATAAACATATGACCCAAATTACTTTTGATCTCTAACATGAATGATCTTATCTGGTTCTGTTTTAAGTTTGTCCAATTTATGACATTCCAAATTTCCTCATTCTATCCTGAAATGATTATGAAAACCTACTAATCACATTCTTCAGAGCAAAAAAAGAAAGTCAAGCATAAAGTGCACAAATAAATAAGTCAAAGCACCGCAAATCTTAATATATTCGTAGCTTTCTTCTGTGGAGTCAAGCTCTGCCGGTCCCACAAGATTCCAGCTGCAGAAGCAACCCATCTTTCAGTGCCAAAGTGAGAAAAAATAAGGAATCAGCATTACTAGATCTGCATAAAATGTTCACAGGAAACCTTGAGATCTCTCCAGTCTGCCTATTTTTCCTACAGCTAAACACCTGGGATCTATCAGCTTCACCCAAGTATTCTGGTGGAGGACCAAATGAAAGAAGTCTGGTTTGGAGGATAAATACCTCTACCCATCCACCGAAGGAGAAAAAGCAAAAGGAAATCCAAATGGGTTTGTATTAATTGCATCTCTAATGAAAGGAGATAATTAGAATTATCCAAACGCTGTTCTAGAAGAGCTAGATAGAAATCTTTTCCTTCTAGATTGGTCCACAGCCAGATGTTCCCAATAGTGAAAATATTTCCCAATTTTTCACCTGTCCTATTATCTGTACTAGATCTTTCTAGCAAACCACCAACTAATCCTCCTTTATAAAAACATAAGAACATTAATCTAAGGAGACCTTATTTTTTTTTAAATTTTTTAGCATTAATGAGGATTAACCTTAGCATGAAATGTGTTTATGTTTCTTACCTTTCACTGAAGAATCGGATGATCAGCAATACAAAAGCATATGGTATCGTGGCATATAATTGATGTGGTTTTGGAAAGACAAGTCCCTCACGGTCTACAAAATGTTCCCATGTGCAATTGATAGGCATCCAGATATTCTCCCACCAGAACCAGCTGTTGAGTGTCTTTAATATGTGCGCCATGCTAAGCAAATAAAGAGATAATGGAAAATTATTCCTGACGTATTAAAAAGAAAATGCATGAAATAAAACATTTGAACGTTGTTGCATAGAACAGTGGTTCCCAGCTGGCAGGATGTTTCCTAAAGATAAGGTACAAGCAAATAGGAGATGAGGATTGGGTCCCATGAGAACAAGCTGTCCTGGCCTGCATGGGTTGCACTGGTGTTGCAGGTCCAGCAGTGGCATCTACAGAGACCCTACAGGCACTGGAAAGATGCTCAAGTGTCCCCAAACTATATCAACAGCAAACAGACAGAGCCAGGAAAGTCCATTTTCTCAGGGAGAAAAAGATTAAAATCAGTTACAGGAAGTTGAAACCTCTTTGGTTTAGAGCATGCAGGTGGGATTATAATCCATCAGAAGCTAAACTAATAGATCTAAATTTTGAGCTGGTATAAACCAGTGCAGGGGCTTTGAAATCTGCGGGGCTGGAGGTAATCATTTCAGTCACTCCCACCAGACTGCTTAGTGCCTAATCAAATCTTTTGCAATAATCATTTATAATCTATCAGAACAATACACAAAAGATAGTAAAGAGAACTGATCATCCTCAGGCTGCCTTCATGAATTAAATTTAAGTGGTTGGAAGGGTAGAAAAGAAAGTCCAGGGTGTGACTCAGTCCCATAATAGTGAAGACATTTTGCTGTTGAATTACTGCTGCTTAATATGCTAACGGCAATATACACCTTGATCCTCATTTTGCAAACACCAGTGCACAGCAAGCTTTTTTTGGGGATTTGCAGGAAATACTATGATTGAACTGTGACCAAATTCTAGATCGGAACAAAATGTCTAAAATCAGTTCTTGAAAGAAAAAAAACCAACATTCACTTAAACCAAAACATTTCATTCTTGTAGAACTGTCGTTTTTAACCTTTGCATTCTATATTATATAGTCAGAGATTTCTGTTATCCCTCATTCAGTTGTAAGGTCTTTACAGTACAAACATGTTATATGTCCTATAAAAATATCCTAAAATAAAATGAAAACATAAGTTACTATAATGTCTTCCATAAGGCTGAAATAAGCAATTTTTCTAAAATTTCTAAAAGTAATAAATTTAAATAACTTTTTCCACAATAAAACATCCTGTAAACCAGAACAAAAAAATAAATTAGGAAACAACTGGTTTCACTGAACTATGGTTTCAAGGAAGAAACAGTTGAGCTGGGAGATTTTCAACCAAATCACCTCCTCATTGCATTAGACGTCCCATCAGAAGATCTCATGGTGATGTATTTGTATAGGATCAAGCAATATGATCAAATCATGCTGAGGACAGATAGCAGGTCAGGCTCTTTAATGTTCCTCCACCATTGAGCAGAGGCCACACCACTTTAGCTTTGCTTCCACCCACCCGTGCTGGATCAGGACACCCAGCTTCGTGCACTCAAACTGGCTTCCGAGATTTGGGCAGGGCTGGCTCTGAAGCCCAGTTTAATCAATAGCTAACGAGCCATCGCCACCATCCACACCGGGCTGTTTCCACTAAGCCAAAGCTTTGCAGCAGCAGGTTTGCGAAACGGTGACTCGTATCCATCGACCAGAACTGGGTTAACAGGCACTGTGAATCCATTTACTGGCCAAGCACAGTAGTCAGTATTAAAATATTAATAACCCAGCCATTTAATCTTTTTAAATGCCAAAAGGGGACAGTAAAAACCCACTGAATGAATTGTGTGTGTATAAGCAAATGCAAAAATAAAGGAGGGAGAAATCGCAATTGTTCCCGCACTGAGACTTTATATGCCAAGTTTCAGCCTAGAGCAATTTTTTACTGCAGAATTATAAACTCCTGGAAGTAGGGATTTATAATGGGGCTGCTAACAGACCCTTAACTAGAGCTAGCAGGCGCCATGATAATGAAGCAGGGCTTTGAAACGTGACATTTTAGGTCAGACAGAAAGGCTTGCAGATGAACAGCCCCAAAAGACCAGGGGAGAGACTCATTACACAGTTCTCTTTCCTAATATATCTATATTTTTTTAAACTAGACTGTGCATTGCAGACTATGGCAAACTGTAACTGTAATAAAACCAGGGCAGTCTATTATAACACAGTGGAAAGAGCACTAATAGTCAGACTAAGGTGAGATGGGTTGTGACTAAATACGCACCCAAAATACCTAAATCCTAGAAAAATCCAGTGGTGTATGTTTTCATATTGGATTCCAGGAATTTCACTAATTCATGTTTTCCTTTTACACAGTTATGCCTTACTGCGTAGCTACCTTCTCAAGTCCTAATTAAATTAAGCTAATAAACTAAGCACATAAGCATATGCTTACTCTTAAAACTTAAGGGAATTCTGAGATTTGGGGTCAGATCCATAGTCCACAGATTTCAGTAGAAAACCTTCCTGACAGAGAGGTGGGTTCTCTGAAACTCCTTCTTGCCTAATCCCCTGTATTTCAACAAAGTCTTGGGCAGCACATGGGGGATTAGACTATCCCAAATGAATGCTGTCTGAGTAATTCTTAGAGAACTGTTGATGAGATTCCACATTAGGCTGCAGCCTATTCTTATGTTTCATTACCTTTAAACTGGATGTTCAACCTACATTCAACCTGTGTTTTCACTGCAGCAAATCAGGCCATTCCCTGGGCAATCCTGGAGATTTCCATCTTCCTAATAGCAACTGTTTAGGTAGTTGAACTGTCCTCCTGTCTCCCTTCAGCTTCAGTTCTTATCATGAGGTTACTGGAGCACCTGGAAGGTGAGGAAATCCTTCCAAACACACCTCAGCAGCACTGATCAGAGCATTTTACAGTTTCTCCCCTTTTTGCTCTTAAACAGCTGACAGCTGTGGCTCTGTGATTGAGTAGTTTTATCCCTCCTCAAATCACGGAGATCCTGAAACATATAGGAACTCCATAAATACTATTTTGTGGCATACATCATATACAAGCAAGATTCTCTTCTCCTGCACTACAAACAAGCTGTGGCCCTATGAGCTTCCTGAGAGATTTCTCAGGAAACCCACACATACTTGGTATGTTTTTCTGTATGAAAAGGAAGCTGATACCAGACAGAAGTCTCCATCTTGGGAAGCACCACTCAAGGCAAACTAACCAGGAATAACTCTGTGCTACCTATATTTATCGTCTCCTTCTCCACAAATACCTATTTGCTACTACCTAAAATTAAAATTAGTATTGGAACTCAATTACACTTTTAAAGATGAACCCATCTATTATCCTATCCCCTCTGCAAAAAGGTTCTTTGAATGCTCCCACAGCATCACCGAGACAAACAATCCAGCTCTAGGGTTTACTCACCATATCTACAGCAACTGATGTCCCAAATGCTAATCCTCATTATCAGCTTTCTCCACACTATGACTTGACCACTTCATTCTAAATTATTTACTTTGAATCCTTTTGATGCTAAACAATGGCTGTGTAAATCATGAAAGAAGAGGCCAGAGGATGGAGAAAAGGAGACAGACAGAAAGCACACAGGTCATTTGTCTCTAGCGAGCTTTGTCTGATAGAAAGCCCAAAGCTGCCATTTACTGATCACTTTTCCTCCTGATTAGCAGCTGCCTGGGACAACTGTGCCTTCTCAGAACCCCTAATCCCACATCTGTGTGAACTTACCAGGCAGAGTATGAATGGCCAGAGAGACCAACCCCTGCCTTCAGACCACACCAGGTTGAAGGCACATTGCCAGTGCCACAGGAGAGAAAATCTTCCCATTATTGTTTGTGCGCAACTTTTTCTGGAAAAAAAGGGTTTATCTCCACAAATGCTATTGTTCTGGCATATTACATATAGACCAATCTCAAACACTTACATATTTTAAATTATGTTGTCTAGACTGTTTAGTTTTGGTTTTAACCAAAAGAATTTAGGCAACTTGTTAGATCCTAACAGGCTAGGAAGGCCAGTAACCCCTTGGCCATACAGTCTTACACTGAGAACTCCTCTTCCAAGCACCCATAGTGTGAGCAGGGAAAGGAAGGCCTCCACCACAGATCCTCTTGTGGAAGTGACTAATAAATAGGTAGAAGTCTTTCAGCTGTCCCTTCTGCCACCCAGGGGCTATGAGCAAGTGATGGTGAAGTAGACAGGCATTTCCTCATATAGTCCCTGAAATCTGGGTGAGAAACGGGAGAACCAGATTCTTATCACTTGGGTGAGTGGAGTGGGTTTTGTAACAGGTTCATTTTATGCTGCCGAGAAATTTTTGCCTCCGAGAAGAGTTATGACTGAAGTCCTTGGGACCCAGGTTTGTTTCCCAACTACATCACCGTAAAACTAGAGTACACTTGAGAAATTTTTGCCTCCGAGAAGAGTTATGAGTGAAGTTCTTGGGACCCAGGTTTGTTTCCCAACTATATCAGTGTAAAACTAGAGTACACTTAACTTTTGTCAGGAGCTTGTTACCACACAAAGGCGTATGTTCCAGTGTAACCACAAGTGGTGGCAACCAGTTCCAGCTCTGGGATCAGGCCGTAGATACTGGGTTTCAAAGGCAGCTGATCTTTTCAGTTTGCATAAACTGTCACAAGTTGTTATCCTCCCTAAACACACTCTGCTTCCAAAGAGCGGGCAGCAGATGCACAGGCCCAGCTTGTCCTGATTTGGGACCAGCTCTAACAAGAAACTTGAAAGCCTTGCCAGCCTGAGCCTCCCGTTGCTGGGAGTGCTGAGCTCAGAGCCTTTTGCCCTTACTGCTCCTAACAGCACCAAGCAAGCAGCAAAATGTGTCGAGTGAGTAAGAAATGACAACAGCCAAGTGATCCACATTCTGCCCAACCTACAACGAAAAAAAAAACTCTGCTTCCTCCTAACAGCACCAAGCAAGCAGCAAAATGCATCGAGTAAGAAATGACAACAGCCAAGTGACCCACATTCTGCCCAACCTACAAGGAAAAAAACTCTCCTTTTTCCCAGATTCCTACCCATACACCAGCAGCACCAGTATTATTTTCATTGACAAAACTGAAGTCGTTGCCA